GGGGGGGAGGATGCACAAATAACACATGAGTTTCCCGAACGCTGCTGATAAGCCTTGTTGAATGACGTACAATGAACAGCTCGTGACTTATCTAAGTGGGCAAAAGCAATTTCAGTATCTCAGACAGACAGGTCAGCTCTTGACTGATGTTGGTCGATTAGCTCCGTACTCCTTCACAACAACAACAACAACTCAGACCTCCTCTTGTCTAACACTTACACCAAGTACCCCGTCATCTGACTAGTACGCACATGTTCTCCGCACCACATTGTGACACGTGGCACCACATTTTGACACGTGGCGTTCGGGCTGATATGGAACCAGGATGGAAATGACACGTGGCTATGGTAATGAGGCATCGAGCCGTACACTGCTAACTACTATCTTTGTGACGGCAACAGCAAAATCTCCCGCCTTGTAGGACTCGGATGTACGAAAAGAACGCCGTACAGCCACGTGTCTCCGTGAAGGATGTACGGAAAGAACGCCGTACAGCCACGTGTCTCCCAACGGTGGGCTACAGTTCTTGAAGAAGAATCGTTGCTGTGCAATGCCATATATCAATTGGTCACGTCAATGCAAAGGCCCTCTGACGCAAGTCACACGATTCCACTGATGCTTTCTGGCGCCGGTCTTGGATTTCAAGAAGCAGCAGTACTTGCCGTGCTTCCAGTCGGAGCTGGCCCACACGATTGCTTTGCACTTGAGTTCCATGTTGCACCTGTCCTGGCATCCGTACAAGTCCCGCGAGACAGGGTCCTTTGTGCAGTCGATCTTCTTGTAAGTGTGTTTGTCCTGGTCTTTTTCAGTGAAGCAGTCGTACCCCATACTCGTAGAGGGGTACAGAGCAAGGATGACCATCCCGACGGCCACCAGGATCCCAATTGTCGTTGACGTCTTCATGACTGTCCTTTGCGTTCGCTGTCCAATCTTCGACGCCAGGTGTGAAACGATCTATAAATAGTATAGTATAGATCCGCCAGGCAGCAAAGGCTGTGGCAGTTTAATAAATAAGTTAACTCTCTGCAGAATTTCCAGTACACAATTACAAGCCCCACAGATTAAAGTCAGGACGGACTACCGTCTCCCCCAAACCACAAAAAAAAAGCAGCCTCATAGTGAATGATGAATGTATACATGTGGGGGCTAATTGGTGGAAACGCCGCACGCCGAAAGGCTTTTTTTTTTTTTTATAATAATGGAAAGCAAATTTTTGGTTGATCGCACCCAAACAGTGCCCGTTCTGCAAGAAGGGCCTATCGGAAAATGTATCTGGACCAAATGAAGAGCCAATCTTGGCCGCCAGATTTTTTAGATTGGACCGAGCGTGGAAACGTTCCTACCAAACTGGAAAAGCTTGGGCAATGGAAATTATGGAATTGAAAGTGTTCAAAAAAAAAAAAAAAAAAAAAAAAAAAAAAAAAAAAAAAAAAA